AAAAAAAAAAAAAGATAGAGAGAAGGGGGTCAGAATACGACGTTTAATAAATAGCAAGTGGTTGTTTGTAGGTTTGTGTTTCCCTTACAGGTCGTGATGAAAGGATGATGACATAAATGGCAATACAATATAAGCTTTATTTACACAGTCTTTGTAGATTCCGATCATGTTTTTGTTGAAGCCTGCTGGAAGATTGAGTGCATGCATGTGCATAATATCCCCACTGTTCTTCCAGGTCCATTTGCAATTCAATGAAGTGTTACATCAGAGAAAATTAGCTTTACATAAGGAATTTGTATTATTAGAGCCCGATGACTGTGATGGACTGCGGCCCAGGCAAAATGGAGGCTTCCAGTGTAGAATGTATACACTATAGACAAATACATGCGCACAAGGGATGGGCTGCCGCACATTATTGCTGTTGATTAAATGAGTGGTGGTGCTGTAATACCCAATGGTATCAGCAGATGGCTATTAAGGCAAGTGTGCCCACATGTATGTTGGTGAGAGAGAAACGCTGCAGTAATATGGCACCAATATGGTACCATTTGTGTTCAAAAAAAGCCTTAGAGGATGCATTTAGCCGTTTTTTTAAATCTTTACCCATATGTATTATGTAATATGTAGTCAACAGGAGATTTGTTTAATGATTACGAAGGAATTTAATTTACGGCAGAATGATGCACAAGACAGCAACTCTACATCAGCAGTCTCTCTCTTCGCTGTGGAGGCAGGTAACAATCGCCCTGAGCTGGGCTCGGCATGCCTGCTAGTCTGGGCGAGGTGGTTTGCAGTTCAGTGCAGCGTGCTGGTGCTAATGTGACAGGACAGCTCTAGGGGGCAGGCAGGCAACGCTTGGGTTGTGCTGCTGTCTAGACAACCACCCCCCCACCACCACCCCTTACAGCAGTTCTGCAGGGACCGGGCCTTTAAATAAGAGCAGTGGAGAGAACACAACCATTGGTTCAACCACTCTGGGTGAATGGATGGTGTCCACGTCCATCAGCCAAGCAGTGATAGGTGACTACAGTATCGGATGACCACAAGGATAGGGGGAAGATGGATTGGGTAAATGTTAGAAAAGAGGGAGGAGGGGTGTAGGTGGTGCTGTGAGACTCCATTAAGATGAATGGGCAACAAACACCTCAGGTGGCACGTTCCACTTTTCCAAATTTGCTTTGCTTCTTTACACATTTGAGACACACTAGAGAGACACACACATACTTACTGGCAAACTTGACAGGTAACATCTGATTGCAGGCCCCCAGTGAAGATTTGGTCAATGATGCAGTTACAGTGGTTTGGATTGTTGGCCTTCTTGCCATTGTCATCTCCTGCGGACCACAAAGAACAGAACGTATAAATAAACACACAGACAGCACCGACCACCTCTTTAGCACCTCTGAAGGACTCTGGTCTGGCCCTCTTTCTCACTGTACCACTCCCCTGCAGCGGAGCCTCCCTGCCACTTCACAACTCTCTGGATTCTCTATAGCTAAATAGAAGCAAGCCTTACTGCAGGGTCTGTGGGGTAAGTCAGCCTGTCATTGCACTGCAGCAGGGCCTATTGACATTCCTCACACTGCTTGCTTGCTTGCTGTCCCCTTGGTACACACCATTGTCAGTCTCCTTCAGTGTGTTTCCAGTGAAGTAAGGCTCTGTGGGTAGATCTAAGTATAACTCAACATTGCCGGGTCAGAGACAGTAGGTGGCACAGTCCCGGGCACACTCCTCTCAATCTCAACCACCACTCTTTGCTGTGCTTCGTATTCACTCCGACTTGAACAAGCTGCAATGTTGGCCTGACAGAAAATATTCAAGAACGATCCAAACCTAGAGTAAACCCTTTGAAACATACAGATTTCTTTAATCTAAATGCTTTGTACACACTGGGAATGATATTTTGACCGCTCATATAGCTTACTGATGGTGTCCCCTTTGCAGTGCCTGTGTAGTACATCCAACGCTGCGATGAGGAACTCGTGGGCGTCTTGCTGCTCGTAGCCTGCGAGGTGACGTGCATGAGTCCACACCAGGTGCAGCAGCCGGAAGGGAATGTGGGGCGAGCGGTGGCCCGAGTAGAACTGAGAGCAAGGAAGAAAGATGGGAGAGGTGGTTGGGGGTGAAGAGGAGAGGCGTGGTTACCCTATTTTTCCAGGTCTTACTGGGTGCATTATATTGTATCACCTCTTTGCCCACCTCACAGCTACATTGCTCACTGTCATCTATAATTCATTGCTGAACCATAACACAAAATATTCTGTCAGTCAAGGTGGTTTTCTGACTCTTTTAACTACTACTTTCATCAGATATGAATGAATTCCGCCACATGTCACCTCACAGCGTCAGCTCTAATGACGGCGCACCCATACAGAGGAGGAGGTGTGAGGCGCACGACACGGAAGACAAAGTGGCTGGAAAACAGGAGCGTTTGGAGCAAAAACATCCATCTGTGAAGTGTTGCAGAGTCTTTGGGTTGCCATGGGAATTCAAGTGAGTGACAATCCAGGTCAGGGTCAGGAGATGTGGGTAAGAAAGCAACAGTGCTGAGCGCAAGAGTTGGCGGGGTGCAAACATCTACAATGAAGTTTCAACTAGAGCTCATTAATGCCAGAGAGGGCTCTCATATCTCCACACAGACGTCGCACATACGCCTCATTTTATTCTCCACATTATTTTTCTGAAATCTGATTGAGCTGTAAGAGGGGGAAAAACATGCCACGCTGACGTCTCTTGAATCTAACAAACTCTGCTTCTTTTTCGGCAGTTTGAAGGTGGCTGACAAATGAAAGACGCTACTAGAGGAGTAGGAAACGGAGGGAAAGAGTGTGGCTGATCAAAGTGGGCCGCGCCTCTCACCTTCACATCTAAAAAGATCTGCTTGTGTGCGTGCGTCTGCAGAGTTAGAAGACAGCTTTTGATGACGATGTGGAGGCGGGTTAAAAAAGAACGGAGGGTAGGGGATGGAAGTAGGGAATGAAATTTAGAGAGTTGGCGACAAGGCGTGGAGGTAGAAAGACTTGGGAATGATACTGTTAGAGTGTTTAAATTGATTGTTCTTGTGTGACTGACCCTGACTTTTCTGTCTCAAACATAGCTGAATACTCAATCACTGTCTGCCTTCCTGGTTGATAGAGGTGAGAGATTATCTCCTTCATGTGTTATGTAGCTGAACGGTTCAGCCAACTGAGACAGGGCAGGGCTCTGTGTGTGTGTGTGTGCGTTGTGGAATGTTGGAGATGTCTTCCCATGAAAACAAACTTTCAATCTGTTTCTTATTGCTGTCCTATTTGTTCTATGGAACTCAAAGCAAGGGGTCCATATGGCACGCTGTGTGTGTGTGAGTGTTTGTGTGTCAGTGATGTCAAGGTTGAGCTGTTATATTCTCCCTTGACAATGAAGTTTAGTTTTTAAGTGGTTTAAATCATCTGAGTCTAATCACAGCAGGGACAGTTATAACTAGTTATGTGGCAGTTAATAAAAATGTGGTCTAGCTAACATCTTCTGATTGGAAAGGACTGGTGAAGTTGTCTTTCATGTAGTAACAGCGAGTAGATCATCTGTGGACTTCCAAAGTTCAAAACACAAACACAGCCAGTGCACCCAAGACATGACTCCAAGATGAAAAAATCTAAATGATCAGTAACTTTTACTGTAAAATAATCTTGTCTACTCATGAGCAGTGAGTACAGGTTGCTGCAGATACACACAGCAGAGCATTGAGTAAGTCTCAAGTCAAGGGTCAAGTCCTTGAGGGCAAATTGCAAAGGCGCAGGTCTATCAGGCCTCTGACTCTACCAGTTCAAACCTTGAGACTTGAATGGTTTTGCTTTTAGGTTGAAAGTCAAGTCTTTAGGGAGTCAAGGGTCAATGTAAGTGCAGTCTAGAGGTCAAGTACAAGTCGGCAGTCAAGTCCAAGTCAAGTCTCAAGTCCTCATTGTTGTGAAGTCCTGGCTGAAGTCTGAAGTCTGAAGTCTACAGCTCTGAGACATATACCCCAAAAATAATGTGTTTATAGGCAGTCAAACAAGTAAAATATGATGAAATATGATGAAATATGATGCGAGGACAAACTACACCATGATCATGTCAAGGTATATTTTGACCAGTGATCACATCCTACCAACAGATTAAGTCTACAGCCATGCTAGCAGCTCTTTGAGGCTGTGCTCAGACAGCGGTGCCTTGAGCTAAATGCTAATGTCGATTGATTGATTAGTTGTCTGCAAACTGACTTATTGATGATCAAAATAGTTGAATTAATTTAATAGTTGACAAATAATCAATTAATCAACTAATTGTTGCAGTTCT